ACTTATGAATTTGAGAAATAAAGTGTGAACAAATTATTAATGGAATATCTGCAATTATTTTCATTACGTCATACATATAAGCAATTGAAAATCGGCTACTTGATTTCATTGCCTTACTCGTTTATGAGGTCAAAAAGGAAGCTTTTTACGGATTCTCTGAACAAGTAAATTTTCCCTATAATTAAACTTTTCATCTTAAGGAAATTGGTTTCCAGTGAAATTGACAGTTGATTGACTATAGCCAATCCATGAAAGGGAATGTAGTAGATTTCCTGGTATAGAGGTATTAATAATTAGAGAGTTTGTTAGCTAATTTCTGCAGGATGTGCTTCTCCCTTTAGTTGTTTAACTAATAATAACTCCTAACATTCAACTCCTTGCAATTTAATACTGGCTACATTTTGCTGCCTCTGCGGTCAAAAGACAGATCAAATTGCACCTTTCGACCATGGGACAGAAGAGAAAAGTGGCTTGAAATAAATACATCTTAAAGTACAGCACTCTCTGCAACCAAGTACTCTTAGTCTCAAGTGCAGAATACCACAAGGCACTAAATTCTAATATCTTTGGGGTTGTTAATTAGACTTAAGTCGGCTCGAAAAGGTAAATTTCTCTGAAGTATTGCTTATCTTTTGAAGAAATGAAATCGGCTAGTCCAACTTGGTAAGCAAAACATCACTAAGAGTTATAATGGTCAGGCCAATTACTGATCCCTATAATATTTTGTAGCTTGCCAATGCAAGGCCTTGTTTTACAAAGAAACTGTTGCATACTTGTGAATTAATGGTATACTATTAGGCATAATGCATATCTTTACACATACAGATGGTAAACGCATTGGAGATTTTCATTGGCTCACCAAAGATTCCGTATATTAACATGGTTACAATCAAGGAATGCATATTACGTCATATTGACCCGAGCATATTCCGGATTAAGGCATCTCTTCCTGTCCCAGTAATCTGGTAGGTATATAGGACTCACTTTAAAAAAGGCATGGGTTGAGCCTCCTTTGAGGGTACCATATTTGATTTTCGTCTGTCTCGCTAGGTCGTCAATAGATTCAATCTCTGTTTGCAAGCGCTCGATGGTGAGAAAGGCGGCCAGATTCGCTGTGTAAGAAGAGACCATTATGAGAATGAAGAACCACCAGATGGTGCCGACTATGCGAGTCGATGTGGCTCGAGGAGATATGTCACAGCCTGTTTGAAGAGCAAAGTAGCATACTTTAAGATGTGTGAATTCCACTATTAGGACAACTTCTCAACATCAGCATGCTAAAAATTATTCAGGCTGGTATTACTGAGTGCTAGAGCAAGACAAAACAGAATCTCATCATTTATTTTCGCACGCATAAAAATGAAAGTAATTAAGTGTATTAGCAGTTATTATCTAAATCATGGTCTATCACCTGAATTCCCGTGAATTTGAATTACTTGTCATGATTAGTTAAATATGGATTTTTAAAAATAAATGTATTATTAATTAATATAATACGCACACTCTTTTTTTTGTGTTAAACACATACTATATAGGTCGAAGAAAGGAGTCGCGAATATTTAATCAGCCAAAAATATTATCATATCAGAATTCTTAGGATCTTTTTAAGTGGCGATTTGCTCATTTCTACCGTTTAATTACCATAATCATTCATTTCTACCATTTAATTTTTCACCATCAAAGTAAGGGACAGAACTTTAAATAGATTTGATTAGGAACTTGAGTCAACCTAGGCTGTTTGAGGTGCTGCAGGAAGTTAGTCTTTACGCTTTTACATCATGGCTTAGAAGTAATCATGTGTTTATTCAAGATCTGCTAGTTTAGAAACCTGCTCGCTGAATATATTTCATTCTTATTGTTTTAAATTTGACTTGCTAAACCGTAACATTATATTTTTTATCTTAAACTTTTACTACTTCATATTTTCAGACTCCAATATGTGATAATCATCACAACCTCAGTGCGTTTCTTGTAAACATATACTCAGTTGGGTTAAGACCTACCAGAAATGCATTCTAGGTACCGACCATAAGTGCCCATATGCCGGCTAGCTTTACAAGGAATTGTAAGATGGACACTAATACTTTCAAGGCTCGATCATAATTTGCGGAATTTACTAGCCCGAAAGAGGCAAATGCTTACATGAGAAGAATGGAAAAGTTTGAGTTCATGCAGGGTCTGGTGCTTTTTAGTGAATTTAAATAGATCCCACGCCATACTAAGCAGTGAAATTAAACGTGTAGTTATTCACTATGAACAGCCTGAAAATCTGGCCGGCAAAAAAAGAAAAAATAAGTGCACAAGGATTCTAGATTACATAGGACAAGCCAATTTGAGTGCAAGGTCACTGATTTGTTGTCTTTGAGCACCTGCGCTTCCTTTTTCTTACTTGCATTCTCAATTAAGGCTTTAGTTAATATAGTGACAGGCTACAAAAAGGCCCATAAATCACTCACAGATAAGCGCCTAATTACTCGTCTCCAAAAGATTTTTTCGAGGCATCCCTTGAATAGAAGAGTTTGAGCTAATTTTTATCCGAGAAAAAATGCACGATGGAAAGATTCGATGTCAGCTTCCTCTTGACTAGCCATCGTTTCGCTGTATGTAAACGTTCTGGTTTACGGAAACCAGTCAAGCTTCACTTGATGATAAGGAGGAAAGCAGGGTTTCAAAAAATTTATTAGTGATTTATTGTGACAAGACTTTCCATTTCAAAGGAAAAGTTCGTTGTAAGAAATTCGTGAAACGGTTTCGCCTGAAACCGAAGGAGTGGAGGGAAGACTGTTGGATTGTGTGAACCAGTCCTCGGCTCACCGTCCTGTGACCCCGATGAACCTATGCTAAGCCTTCGTATGTACTGTGACAGGCATATTCATATCATCAATACTTTGTGCAATTGTGCAAACAACAAAGGAGACCAACAGAAAAGGTGGCCGGCTTCAACCATAGCCACTTTTTCTACATCTATACTTCGATTTTAATGAGACCTCCCATTTTCGCTAAGACAATTATCGAAACCAAAATTTTCTTCATATCTTCGAAGCTAGTACGGTTTCCATTCCTTTCGAGATTCGTCATTATACAAGAAATTCAAGAAAGTTTTAAGCAGGAAAGTCAATCACATTCGGTATTTAAAGGGAAAGCATTAAAAACTTTGGAAGATATGAAGACCAAGATGGTGTGGCTTTTTATCTGGTCAAAGTCTCCTTTCGTTGTATAGAGGTTGTTTGACCTCTTTGACGTCTTTGTTGTAGCTTTGACGAGTTGTTGTATAGTGCTAAGCATGGTGAGACTCACTGACGATGCCGAATAGGATGCCGGCGAAACGTCTGGGAATGTATCATGTCCACGGTCCGACTTTGGAATTGATCATGCATACAATGGACTCCGGACTAGGTGCGTTCTTTTTAGTCTTCCTATCAATATGACCAAGTTGCGAAAACAAGGTCAAACAACCTCAAAACAAAATTTCATTCAGTAATTATCAGTAATACCAGGATCAGGTAAATAGTGTCCGAGGCTCTTGGTTTAGAAGGCCTTCTTAGGATTCAAAGAGTAGCGAACAAATTGTACGAAAACAACTTTCAGCAGTTAAGAAAGAAGCATGAAAATAAATTCAGAAATTTGGTGTAGGAATTAGTTCAAGGAAATAATACATATCTAAAGAAGTGAAAAATGGGGAAGGTCGATGCTAGAAAGTAAAAAAATTGTCAAGAACCACAATGGATATTTCTACTTAGGAGGTTCTATCAAATGACTTGGAATTTGAATTTACAAATTGTAGAGACTCAAGGAGGAAATATTTGTAGAATTTATAGCTGTAACAGATAATTTTGAAGCATGAAGAGAAGCTAGTTTTTTGGTGATTGTTCGTAACTAATGGTTTCTGGCTCTGAAGATGTTGGTCACTTGACGGATGAAAGCTCAGCAAGGATGGATCTGGGTCACAGTACATTGAGCCGGGGTCTTCCTTGCATAATCCAACCGTCACAACTTCGCTGCAACTCCTCTTTGATATCGGGAGAGGTCAATTTACGAATCCCTTCCACCCCACCTTTTCAAACGAAATGAAAGGTATGCCAGCATTAAAGGATGGTATACCAGAGGATGCAAGGAGTGACATTCCTTTACAAGTTACCCCTTTTATTGTTGGTCGTTTGGCAGTTTCTTATAAGAATAGGATAAGTAACACTATTATAAGGAGCCCTAGGGGAAATGACAAACTAGCATTTAGAGCAGACAAAGGAGGAGCAGTAATAATTATGGGTATGACTGATTATGTAGAGAAAATGATGGAGAAATATAAAACTATAATTGGGATCCAACAGAAGGCTTTAAGGCTAGATTTAAGGGTTTTTGCAACAATGTGTAAACAGTAGAGAACTGTAAAAGTGAAAAATGAATGCACTTTTTTAATGAGATGTCAGACCCCTAAACGAATATGGTCTGCTTACAATTCATAAGAAAGTTACCACATTTAATATTATTGTAAAGAATCGGGGTAGTGCGATGCATAAAACACAACGATTTAATCATACACATTTGAAGTAAATCTCCGAAAGTTGGAGGCTTTCTATAAGAAATTTTTAAGACTTTATTAAGTTATTAGATGAGCAGTTTATAGAAAGAGGAAATTTTCATTTTATTTTGGATATAGCGTCTATGTGCACTAATATTCCGAGAAACGGCTATGGAGTTAAAGGTAAAAGCTTAGGCCGAGATTCAATCATTAGATTAGTTAATTTGTGAATGAATACACAATTTATCTTTACAGTCAAGTCTCAATAACTAACAGAACGGTATGCATGAACAAGCACGGGGTATGGTTATAGGCTCTCGTCTAGCCCCTAGTTTAGTATATAACTACATGATTCAATTAGAAGTTCGTTGGTTTTAAGAAGCACTTATAGCTTTAAGTAATTATTCCGGTATATGGGCGATTACTTTGCTGTTTGGCAGCACGGGAAAGATAGATTGGGTGAATTCCTTGAGCTAATAAATACAATAGATGGTGACACTAATTTAAATATTGAGTTAGGAAAGGAAAATAAATAGTCTATTTTGGATTTATTCGTAAGCAAGGAAGGTAATAAGTTGTACAGAAACGTGTTTAGTAAACCAACACTCGCGGGTTTGTTTATTATTTTACATATAAAGTGAGGGTGTGAGTTATGCAATCCCTAATAATAAGGAACATGCGTCTAATAGACGTAAACTACAGGGACAAGTAAATCGGTAGATTGATGCAGATCGAATTTCAAGAAAATTTTCCATTAAGATTAATAGATTATTACATTTTAATACTCATTTACAGGGATATGGGATGTTGCTATTTGGTGAGAGGTAGACAGATAAACCATTCTACTTTGTT